TTGATGACTAGTTTCCAGTTCATACAATTATATAATTGTTATAAAACCTAGGAAGAAATTCTCTCGGGTAAAGTTGACCTTAGAAGGTTTTTGCTGTTTTGTTTATAGTTTTTGGTTTTAGGCCTCAACAGGTTTTATAATTTTGGAATTCTGAACATGTGGTCTCAAGTGTACCTGATGAAGGTTTTCTCAGAAGCACATGCGTGCATGATTATCATGTCAAAATTCACTGTTCCGGAACTTCTAATGTACTCTGGGTAATATTTTTAAAAGCGTACACCAAACCGTTGTGATTGGCTGACAACGTTCTAAGTAGTGGAAATGCAACCAATGCCGTCACATTATTTTTCATTTCGGGGAACAAGCAATAGGAAATTACCCATAATCCTTTTGATTCTGAAACGCCGAATACTTTATTAACCAGTCTGTCTTTTCTTTTCTTTGGCTATATTGACTTCTTTACCTCTTTTTTTGGTGATTTTCATTTGTTGCCTACGTATCTGCTGATCTCGCAATACTCAATGCACAGTAGAAGAACCTGTCTTTTTAAATAAAATTTTACACGATATTTGATCACAATATGTTTTAAGGTTGTTTTTTTTTTATAAAAACAAGTGTCCTTTGAACTGGACGTCTCAACGTTTTTATTCTGCGTCGAAAAGGTAAAATAGTGAAGATTAATAACCATTTTAGAACTGCATAATTAAAAAAGTATATTGTCTATGTGCATAGAAAACAGGATCGGGCTAGAAATCAATCAATACAGAATTAAAGATTTTGATCTATAATTACTTTAAAGAGACATGTTTCATTAATTTTTTATATGATGGATTACACAATAATTGAAAATGTCAAAGAATATGAAAGAATAGATAACCAGATAATCACTCTCATATAAGCAATATTTATAGACTTGATGTGAACTAGACACTTCCCGAATAATACCATGACAAAGGGTTAATTACACCATTTTTTTTAGATTTGAGAAACAACACATTCTTTAAGAATGCCCGAGTTAAAAAATGTCATGACTCATTTATTTTGCAGTACAATTTTGATTAAGAACATACTAACCCATTTTCATCCAATGGGAAATCAGTATTTTCCCTTCTATTTTTCATAATACATGGCTTTCCATGCACTACAAAATGCTATACATGAATGACTTTTCATTTTAGATTGATTAAAAAAAGTTAACTCTTAAAAAAACTGCACTAACGAAGTGTACAATCCCCCGAGGCAATTGCTATAGGAAAAAAAGCAAAAGAAAAACATCACGAGTATGTTGCTTGTCTGAAAGTACATATATAGAAAAAAAACCCATTCATCATTAAAGAAGTGGGCATCTGATGTTGAAACGATCGTAATTTCAAAATTTACTGATGAAGTTTTGTCATTTGATTTATCAAAAATTATACAACTTTGGAAAAGCTTATTTATATTACATTGTGTACTTATTAAAATGAAGAAATTTAAGATGTATACGTATTAAATTGTATCTGAAGCAGAAGAAACCTCTATTTTTGAATATTTTATCCGTTTTTATTATCCCAAAATTATCTCATCGCTATTTCATTCCATCTGTTGAAATGACAATTAAATGATTTACATCCCGTGCATATGTTCTAAATTGGTCATGTTTTATGAACATTTAAAACCCTCGGCTACGCCTCAGGCTGTAAATATTTATAAATTATGACCAAGTAGTATCTAACCTATACTTAAAGGTAGTGTCCAAGTACCATAATAATGGTTGTAACTATACTTAAGTTTAAATATTGTTTACGATGAACATTGACCACGAGTCTCGCATTGTGGCGTGAATCCATGCGCATCTAATTTTGATTAATTGATTGATTGGTGTTTAACGCCACTTTCAGCACTATTGTGCTATTTCGTGGCGGTCAGTTGTTTTTGTGGAGGAAGCCGGAGTGACTTCGGTAGAAAAACTGACAATCCTAGTCGATTAAGATTGGAGTCGAGCGCACCTGTCACGTGTGGGATTCGAGCTCACAACCTCACTGTTGACAAGCTAGTGATACAGTAGTTCGCATACTTAGACCACTCGGCCACCAAGGCCTCCTGCGCTTTTACTTAACCCTTCTGCCTTCTGCTAAAATCGATGAAAGATGTAAATAAGTGTCGCGTAGCCACTTGAAAATAAATTGTAAGCAGGGGTCTTGGGGTGCGAAGCTGAACGATTATAGTAAAATTCTTATTGAAAAAAAAATGTTTCATAAAATTATTTGTAAGCACATGCTTACAATGCTACGCTGGTGATACGCCGCTGTAGCAATTGGTGAATGTATTAGAATAACACTGTTCCAATTACTTGTAAACAGCAACAAGCAATTATATATGTGAACATTTTAGCTTTAATGAAGTATGTAAAAACAAAATAAAAAGAAATTCGAATTTAAAAAAAGCTATTGTAACTAATTTCATTTTGAATAAACCATGTCTTCACAGTTGATTTGCTGTTTTGGAATTTGTGTCCATCTCTATAAGATTGCATTCAAATTGTACGATAATTGTTGCAGAAATTATGCAGTCAAGAAGATGACACCTAAATTAATATTCTGTTATTTTATTTTATTACCAGTTGGTCGATTCTTATCAGTTAATTGTCTGGTAGTCAACCGCGGACGTAGGTTATTACATGCTTCACAGTCCAGTTTACAATTTTGATTGATAACCAGTGAAAAAATTACATAGAGCGCCATAAGAAGAAAAATAATAATACAGACTTATAACCGTCTTGAGTACATGTTGTCGTTCAATTGCCTGGCCTGTCAGGGTAATGCAAAAGCTTTAGTTTTGTAACACGAAGGTAATTACTATTGAAGCAATTTTCGTGATTGCTCCAAGACTTGTTAATCATTGTTTAGCGCAGTTTTCTTTCACGATAGGGACCATCTCAAGCGTTATGACTTGACAGATTTTTTAAAGACATTGCAATGTTACTAGCCTCACACTTTACTTTTAGCAAGCCGGTCAAAATACATCCATTTTGAGAATAAGAGGACATCGTATTTTGTATTTAGTTCCCCTGAAATGTCAGTTTTTAGGAAAATTCACTGTTTTTGGTTTTTTATTATGAAAACTATTTAAGTAAGAGAGAAACTGTGAATAGCAAAATAGATCAACATACTAAAATCTACAAACAAGTCCACATCATTATTTAAAAGATCATTTACGTAAATTGACTCCATAAAGGTGTTTTTGCCCTTAAAATGCAGTTTAATCCCATAATTAGATATAAGAAGATGTGGTATGAGTGCCAATGAGACAACCCTCCATCCAAGTCAAAATTTATAAAAGTAAACCATTATAGGTCAAAGTACGGTCTTCAACACGGAGCCTTGGCTCACACCGAACAGCAAGCTATAAAGGGCCCCAAAAATTACTAGTGTAAAACCATTCAAACGGGAAAACAAACGGTCTAATCTATATAAAAAACGAGAAACACTTATGAACCACATCAACAAACGACAACTACTGAACATCAGATTCCTGACTTAGGACAGGTGCAAACAATTGCAGCGGGTTTAACGTTTTAATGGTACCAAACCTTCACCCGTTTGCGGAAACTAGAGTAAATAGAGAGAGACTCGGTAAATACCTTGAATGAGCCACAAAATAAAATCTTCTAATAAATCAAATGGCACGTACATGTTTTATCAGTCGACTCCCTTGTAGGAATTATCGACTATGAATGACGATTTTTACACATTCTTGTTTTTAATGTGGAAACTATCGTACGGTAGTTAGAGAGATATTGTAAATATCAAATATTATCAGCAACGTCAGATCTACAAATAAGTCAAATGGTCATATTCAGTCAACTCCTTACAGGAATTACTGATCTTTAAAGACGATCTTTAAACATTTTTGCGTTTTGGCTATAATCTTAAAAAATCAAATAGAAAGATACTTTGAACAGCAAACATGATCAAGAAGACAGGTTTAACAAACGCGTAAGCATAGCTAGATAATCAGTTATTACGTTTTTTGTGTGGCAAACTATAGTAGAAAGAGAGAAACTAAATGTAGCATTAATAATCAGCAAAATAATATTTACAAATAAGTATCTCATGGAATCCTGCTTCTATAGTTTATTTTTGTGCCAGTCCTCTTCGGTGTCTGCGTCAACACAACGTCGATTTCAATGAAGATAAGTCGGTTTGGCAATTAAAAATTAAACTAAACATTCGTGCAGGTAAAACAATTATGTACGTTCAATGTCGGGAAAGATGTTAATCTTTTAAGTATTGTTTTGAAGAACATTTTTTTCTTTACTGTGAAATTTATAATTTCAAAAATATTTTTCGTGAGTTCTTGATTACCGTTTCGTGCCGTGAACCCGATTTATAGCGTTGTATTTTATCCGGACGTATACATTCCAATCACGAATAGTTTGTGCTGCACATACTTGTTTTTTTTTATTTTGCGCAAATCAACATATTTCTGATTTCCCGAAACATTGGACTGTAATTTATATCTGAATCGACTGAAAAAAGAATACCAAGTTAAATTGATGATTTCATTTTAACGCTTTATCTTACAGAGGTAAAGAGTGCATTGCACGCACTAAACAAAAAATGCATCCTCTCAGTTGACGAGTGGTCAACATTATGCGAGGCTCGTTCCGGTCACTACAGTCAATAAATTTTAATTCGTTTAGCTGAAGAACTATACACATAAGCAATTCAAGCTATTCTTGATACAAGTTTTTCTCATTTTGCGGTTATTGAATCACCGTATGAAAACCATAATTAAATTACAAATCAATTTTCGTTCGTTGATGTAACATGTTGTCCCTTGTTCCTTTGTTTAAGTTGAATGTATAGTATCAATTTAATTATCAGAAATAAATATCGCAAGTCACACATTTAAGTACATATGGCGCATTTCCTTTGTAATTCAAATTTTTTTCTGTCTCGTTATTTTGTAGTTTACGATAAAATATGACAAAACTGAAAATCTTGTCATTTGGAATTCATATATATAAATAATATGTTTTAAAGTTGACAGTGAGCAGTCCGGCGACCATAATTTCAGATGGATTTTCACAAAGTGATATGTCTAAATTCTGTCAGTTAATCAAACATTTAATTCACAAACACATGAAAAATTAAAGAAAGGATGCTAAAAACTAAAACATAGTACATGTACATGAAGGATAAAGAAAGTGTTGATTTTCATGTTGAGATAAATAAGTTTCAAAATTTGATACGGAATGTAAAACACCACAATCAAACGTAGAATTAGTTACTTTAAATAAACCAAAGTGCAGTAAAACTAAAAGTCTACCATTTGACATTATGTGGTCTCATAGGCTTTCTTACAAGTTCAGTAAGTATTTAAGAAATAGAAATGTAAAAATCTATGCAACAGAAATGTACAAAGCTAGAGTTATATAATAATCAAGTCTGTTCATCCACGAAGGTAACATCTTACTCATTTAGATTTTAAATTTTAATTATTTAAATATGATTTTTTAGATAACATTTATGGTTATTTCTTTTTAACATGTTTTAATAGTAAAATTGAGAATGGAAACGTATAAAGATTTTTTAAAAGATACGACACTGATAAATATGTCACAGAGGACATTTTTTTAATGTTATTCTAGATGTGTAAAAACCCGTTCAACAAGTTTAAGTTCTGGTTTTGCAACTCTTCATAATTTTTTTTAAAGTGACTTGAAAATTTTCTATATCGAGATGGTCATTTTATATTTTCGTATTTTATAATGCTATAACTGACATTTTCAAAAGAGTAATTAACATTTATTTCATTATCTTTATCTTATTTTTTTTGTGATGAATGTGGTAACTATTATGCCTAAGAACATGATCTTATTTGAAAAAAAATAAGTATGATTGCTTCTCACTTCGCTTCAAGTAGAAATGTCTGTTTGTGTTACCATTTTCACATGTATTTTGGTATGTATTGTAAAAACCTCTAAAGTACAAAACTGTTCAAGTATAATATATTTAATAATGCTAGAAAGTCTAAGTCTGTTATTTATAGCTTTGTTTACTTAGCTTGGTAGCTGATTTATGATGTACGGAGTGTTTTCTCTGAGTGGTATTATGTTAGTTGTATTCAGTACTGTTTGCTTACTGTCCAGTAACAAACAGTTCATGCAATTCTAGGAGAAGTTCAGTCTTGAGTGTGTAAACACCACGAACAGCAAAATTCATACACCTCAATAAAATGTTGCAAGGTTTATTGAACTTCTAAAGAGTGTAACTCTTTTCCAACGGGTACATTAGTTTAAACGTCTCCATTTCTACCGGGCGTTGGCGTATATACAACCCGAACATCGAAATAAATTGCCACTTTTTACCGGCACGTAAAAGTCTAAGAGACCTTATGTTTATACCTCCGTCATTCGTTATCCTGTAAGGTGTAGAGAAGCAGACTAAACTTTTAATAAGAACATAGGGTTAATTTACTCTGGCTTTACCGAATGAGTAATGCGTTCATATATTAACTAGAGGTTAATTCACTACACACCGTGCTATTGTCTTAATTTTCCTAAAACTAATAGACATGAATAAGGATATGTTTCAATTGATTGAGTGTTCTTTGATGTCCAGCGTAAAATATTACATGCATCTGCAATATACAACATTCTAACGCGACAGATTTTTATTGAACCATCTAACAAGGGAACAGTCATGTTATCCTAACTAGACACATAATTCTGACTTCGATCAAACCAGTTTTTGCTCTTACTTTACAATTCCATCGCCTTTGATTTGACTATCCGGTTTAACCCAAGACCTCCGACCTTCAGTCGCGTCAAGCACATTACAACGAGACCATCGAAGCGGTGATATGAATACTATTCGGTTTCGATCAATTGTTGTCATCTTAATATTGTAGCCATACATGTAATTGGCGTTCTATTTGTATCTTATTAATTAAGGGCATACGATACAGTTACATGGGAGGTAATGACGTTGCCAACGTAAAATGTTATTTTTCGCGACGTCAAACTGTGACATATCGGGAAAAAATGCATTTTCGACTGATTTTTATCGTTCAGACTGATTTAACTTGAAAACGAGTTCAGGGACCCCTTTTTTTAAAAATGACATTTGGCTTGATTATGAATGGAGATTATTTGTGCCAATTTGTATGAACATTGCACCGATGAATTTTTTTTAAGTTAGATAAATATACAGCCAAAAATGCGTTTTTTTGCCTAAATTAATGAAAATGTGATAAAAATGAATTATTTCCAAATAATTGTTTAACTTACACAAATTCAAAACACACTTATGTAGAGAAGATATTCCAGATGTTTTCACAAATATCCGCTTGCGTTTATCTTTTGAAACAAAAAAGTTAGGTATGACTTTTAAAAGGATAGAAATATCCAAGAAACCGAAATGTCCAGTAAATGTCTAAAATTTCGACTCCATTTATCTCTAAAAGTAGCACATGAAGGTATATTTTTTATTACTTTTTTTAATTGCCTAGGTGAAAAATAGCTTGTATGCAAACTTTCGTCAAAAATTCACCGTGGGAACAAAACTGTATCGTATGCCCTTAAATGATGACAGCATCAAGACGTCAACTAATTACAGAAGCGAGCAAATGCAGGGTTGTTTCAATGTATGTCTGTAAGTTATCCCATAAATAACGGAGTACAAACGATATCAGGTTGTTGTTTCTCGTTAATACAGTTTGTAAACTATAAACAACAAGTGGTATATGTATGTACTCTATATTCTGGTACAAAAAGGTAATGTAATTGACTCGCTTTTTGACTTCGAATCTATAAGGACCAATTTACTCAACTTTATAGTAAATATGTAACAAATTATCCAGTTACAACGACTCTTACTGTCCCATATGAGTATATTTAATGGCTTCCATTTACTACGTGTTCCCTAGACGAACTTACCATTTCGGTAATGATCCGTAGGATTTATCTATTATAGTCATAATAACATTTAACTATGCAATTCATTGGTATTGAGTAAATGCTATATTATTTTCACAAAAAGGCTGGCTGCAAAAATATTTAGTGAGAAGATGTCCTATATACGATGCATACCTATGTTAACTGTCCATGTTACCCTTCTGTTTTAACCTTGAAAAGGTTTGGTTTGCTGCGGCGAATAAGTAATAAAAAAGAAACGTAAAAACCAATGTCGGTAAAACGTACATTTGAGCGACAGAAGAAGTACTACAGACCAAATTAAAATTAATATCCCACCTCCCAAAAAATGAAAAATGAAAAGCTTTCTTGATAAATCATTGTGCTTAAATTTCATTAAAACGTTATTTTTTAAACTTTAAGATACTACTTATTTCAGTCCTTAATGAGTAATTGTTTCAAGATTTTAATTAGCCAGTTTTTTGTTTGTCTATAATCATCTTGTTTTATGGGAATGTCTATATTAAAAGAAAAAATCTGACTAATCACGTGATACAGATTTCAGTGCACGAACCCAAAAGTTTGGGGAGTCAATTTAGTAAATAAACTCACCATAGATACCAGTCTTAAATTTTGTACGCCAGACTCACGTTTTGTCTATAAAAGACTCATCATTGACGCTCGAATTTAAAATGTTAAAAAGGCCAAATAAAGTACGAAGTTGAAAAGGATAATTGATGACCCAAAATCCAGAGAGATCTTGCCAAATACAGCTAATCTAATCCTATTCTTCGAGCAGAACATCCATATTTCGAAAAATTCAAATTTTATAAACAGTTTATTTATAATTATAACCATATTAATGATAATTTATATCAACACAGAAGTGCTGACTATTGGGCTGGTGATTCCCTCGGGGAGGAAACCGATCCACCAGCATTGTCATCCACCCATTTGTTGTAAACTGGTCATAGATACCAGGCTTAAAATTTTGTACTCCAAACTCGCGTTTCATCTACAAAAGACTCACAAGTGACGCTCGAATCAAAAGAGTTAAAAAGGCTTAATAAAGAACGAAGTTGAAGAGCATTGATGACCCAAAATTCTGAGAGGTTTTGCCAAAAACAGCTAATGTAATCTATTACTGCGGTAAAACATCCTTAGCATTTCGAGCAAGTTTTATAAAGAGTTAATCTATAATCATGACCATATCAATGATAATTCATGTCAACACAGAAGTGCTGACTACTGGGCTGGTGATAAACATTGAAGAGTATATTATAAAGATCCTCAACAGAACAGCCAAAATCGTCAATGGTGACCTTTGCCTGAACAATGAGCAAAACCCATACCGCATAGTCATCTCTAAAAGGCCCCGAAATGACAAATGTAAAACAAATCAATTATTTAGAAAACAATGAACAAAAAATAATTATAATATACAGCAACAAACGACATCCCCTGAATTACAGGCTCCTGACTTGGGACAGGATATGTCTGTCTTCCAATGAAAATATAATATTCATGTGCAAGTTGAATTAAATGTATTCTGAAAAGAATTAGCATATTAAGTTTAATTAAAAAAAACTAAATATATTGCGTGTTATAACTTATTTCTTTACATGTCATATATTTTGCATGAGTACTATAATTCGCTTGGCTTGGATAATTTATTTTCCAAAACACCTGACTTATCACCAGCCAAGTACATAATGAGATAGTCAATCGGTAATAAACCATAGGGACTGCTTGTTTACGGGTCAAATAGATAGCTCACTATCGTCTACATGCCTTTCTAAATAAAACCTTGTACCCCCATCACTTTTATCCAACCCCCATTATAATAACAGCCCATCTGTAATCAAACAACATATAAAAATAACTGTTCCGTGACATTACCTGGTCTTAAATTTCAAGACTAAATTTGCAAGATTTTTATTCGCTACGGAATTTCTTTTAGTATAAATTGCGCACATCTTGTTGGTGATTTTTTATTTTATTGCTTCGGGTTGTCTCTAAATGAGAAAATTAAGACAGGTCAAATAAAAAGTATGATAAATCTATTTATATACTGCAGCTAGTAGTGTTTATTTCCTAAATATAGTAACAAAGCTATATTTTGTGCAATGTCAATTTCATCATGGAACACTTTTTCCACAATCAGGGGTTCATTTAGGGATGAAAATAAGTTTGAAATTTGTGGTACAATTCAAATAGCTATGAATGTATTAATTTAAGTTGCAGTATAAAAACAATATTAGGTCAATGTCAGAAAAATATAAACTTTTTTGTATTCGACACAAAACTGCGGAAGGGCTCGGTAAAACCTCGCCTGTCCCTAGTTTCTCAGCCTCATACAAAAAAGTTTATATTTTTCTGACATTGACCTAATATTGTATATTGATATTCTATACATTTGTGACAGGTACCTTGAAGCTGTATATTCAATTGTCAC